AATCGGGATGGGTGTGTCAAAGGCAGTGCCATTGGCACAGGATAGAGCAGGGTTTAGGTCTGTTGTGCATAGGGTTGCTATGAGTCGAAAACGACTCGATGGCACATAACAACAACAAGAACAATAACAATAGATGGATCAACCTAGCAATGCTAACAATGTAATAAAGCATATGAGAAAAGATAAATATGGTCAACACGATGCAGATTGGTAGTTCATAGGATCACTATATGTCATAGTTGACTCAATGGCACACAGGTTTTCTGTTTTCTAAGTAGATTCCAGTCCTTTCTTTAAAGGCACTCTTGTTGTTGTTATTATTATGTGCCATTGAGTAGCCTGTGACTCTAGTAACCCTATGATCAAAGCTTTGAAATCTGCTTTATCCTGTGCCAATCTTTTTGTCTCTGACACACTTACTCTCATTACTTTAGTTTCTGAATAAATCCATCTTATTGAGGGTCTTCCTCTCTTGTGCTGTCCTCCACCCTCCTAACCATGATGTCCTCCAAGGATTGGTTCTTCTTGCAACACGTGCAAAATATGTCAGACGAAGCTTCAGAATCCTTGCCTCCAAGGAGCAGCCTGGTTTCACCCTTTCTAGGATAAACCTGTTAGTTCTCCCTGCAGTCCATGGTATATTCAATACTTTTCTCCAGCATAACAATTCAAAGGCATCTATTCTTTTGCTATCATCCCTAGACCTTGTACAACTTTCTGACACATAGCAAGTAATTACAAAGAGTATGGCCTGGATCATGTGCACCTTAGTCTCCAGACTGACATCATTGCTTTTCAGTACTTTGGAGAGGTCTCTCACAGCTGACTTTCCCAATGCATTTTGTCTTTTAATTTCCTGGCTGCTGGTACCAAGAGTGTTGATTATGGAGCCAAGCAAACTGAAGCTGTCAACAATCTCTATCTCTTCACCATCTATCATAATACTGCCAATTGGACCAGTGGTGAGAATCTTTGTTTTCTTGATGTTGAACATCAATCAATAGTGAAAGCTGCAGTCCTTGACCTTCTGCAGCAAGTGCTTCAGGTCCTCTTCAGTTTTAGCAGGCCAGGTTGTGTCATCTGCATAATGTAGGTTGTTGATGAGTCTTTCTTCAATCCTGATGCTACACTCTTCCTCAAACCACCAACTTCTCAGTTAATAGCTAAATATTTAATCATTTATACTATGAAAAGCCTTCTTTTGGACGGTAGGAACTGCTCTTCTCCTTTTCAGCTTGGCCTAGTCACAAGAAGTTGTGCTGCAATTCTGAAGGTGTGTGTGGTTCAAATCCAAAAGCTGCTCTATGGGAGAAGTATGGGCAATTAACGTGTGATTAACTGCATGTGAAAACTCGCCAGAGGGTCAACTATGGGTCAGATCGAACTCAATAGGACACAACAACAACAACAACAACAACAACAATTCTCTTTATAGTAGCAATGAAAGACTTACTTTGTTAAGTCCAGTTTCAATTGTTAAGGTTAGACTTAGTTGCTGAACACGAACTTTTTTTTTGGTGAAAGTCTTCCTATCCTTCAAAATATCTAGCTACTGTCAGGGTTTCTATGGTTGTATCTCTAATCTCTCCAGTTCTGCTTCCTTACAGCTCTTTACTTTTTAGCCATCCCTTGTTACACTAGACCTGCTGCCATATTGACTTTTCTGACCAATAAAATTTCATTAGAATATAAAGCTGTAAAAAAAAGACCATGCATATGATTATGGAAATTCTAATAATTTTAAAAACAGAATTTTTTACAGACTGATTTTTTTATTATTAAATTTTATTCGTTTTAATGAACATTTACAGAGATTTGGGGTTTTCATTCATTCATTGTTGCACTGTTTTCTCCACCTTCCTCCCCAGTTCGTTCTCTGCTGGGAGTGAAGTCTTTGCTTGAGGAACCCCGCGTGGTCTCATGCTTCTCCGCAGTTCTGGTCTCTTTGGAAGACTGGGACAAGTTTTGAAAACTTCCTTGTTCATTTAGACGATCCAAGCTGCTTTCTTTTTCTGGTTGAATGCTGATATTTATTTGGGCATATTTTCTGGAAGAAGCTGTCCTTGGAGAGACACATCATTCTGGGAAAGGTACAGGACCACACCTGTTTTCTTCGAGCACTCCTGGAACTGCTGTATCAGCTGAATCCTCTGGGAAGCAGACACTGTGACAGAGTTTCAAATGCAAATAGTTGATAAAAGAGTCACACCCCAGTTACTGTGTCAATCTATCTTATCTGGGGTCTTCCTCTCCTGCGCTGTTCCTCCACCCTTTCAAGCATGATGTCCTTCTCCAAGGACTGGTTTCTTCTGGAAACATTGTTTGCACATAAATTCCAATATGAAGGTTTCTTTATCTAATCATCCCTTCTTGGAAAAGCAGAAGATCGGGGACAATGAAGAAGACTCTTCATGAGGTTGGTTGTTACCGCAGTAGCTGCAACAGTGAGCCCCAACATAGCAGTGACTAACAACTTCATATTTTTCTTTCTTCACTTAGAATGGCATTAAATAGCAAATAAAAATCACCATGACAAGTTGAGAGAAAGACACTGAAGACAGCAAGCCGCCAGCTAGACCATGCTCAGTATACATTACAGCATGGATAAATTAAAGTATTAACATTACTAATGGATTTAAAAAAAAAAAGGTGGCGTCTACTTCATCTTTGTAGTAAACAAGCCTTGAACTCCATCATTTCATTGGAGAACTAACTCGTCCACACAGACTGATTTTTATGGAGTAATTTAATATTGATGAAATCATCACAATTCTTTTTGTCATCATACATAACAGAGATATTATTCAAAGATGGATTCACACTCCTTAAAATGTTCTTGTTGTTAAGTGTTGTCGAGTCGACTACCACTCATAGCAATCCTATGAACAGTGGCTCTGAACCTTGCCCTATCTTGAGCCAACTTCACCATCTCTAACACTCTTGACTCCATTGTCATAGTCACTGTGTCAATCCATTTCATCCAAGGTCCTCTTCCCTTCCCTCTACCCTTCTACTGACCCTCTACCCTTCCAGGAATGATGACCAAGGACTAGTTCCTCTTGACAACATGCCCAAAGTATGAGAGACAGAACTTCAAAATCCTTGTCTCCAAGGATCAACCTGGCTTCACCCTCTCCAAGACAGACTTGTATGTTCTTTCGGTGGTCCATGGAATGTTCAATACTCTTCTCCAGCACCACAACTCAAAGGCATCAATTTTTCTGTCATCCTTAGTCATTATCCAGCTCTAAGATGGCTAGAAAGCAATTGGGAAGACCAAAGCCTGGATGAGGCACACCTTAGTGTCTAGACTGATATTGTTGCTCTTTATTATTCTGGACTGTTCCTTGACAGCAGATATTTCTAATGCCATTCATCTTTTGATTTCTTGATGGCTGGTGCCAAGACTTTTGATTGTGAACCTGAGCAAGATGAAATAATTAACAACTTCAATCTTTCTTATGATGCTGATTATTGACCTGGTGGTGAAGATTTTCTTTTTCTGTTGTGAAATAATCTATATTGACGGCTCCAGACCTTGATCTTCTGCAGCAAATGCTTCAAGTCATCCTGTTTCAATCAGCAAGATTGCATCATTGGCTTAACACAGGTTGTTGATGAGTCTTCCTCCAGTGCTGACGCCCCTTACTTCTTCCTAAAGACCAATCTCTCAAATGATCTTTAGCATATAGGCTGAAAAAGCATGGAGAACAGGTACATTCATGATGCATTCCTTTCTTTTTTTTAATTTTTTTTTTTTAAATTTCAATGAACATCTACAGAGATTTTGGAATTCCATTCATTCATTGTTGCACTTTTCTCCCCCCCCCCATTCACTCCTCTCCTTGAAAAGCAAAAGAAAAACTCCTTCATTGGTACACAATCCCCACCCCTGCACCCTCCCCAACCCTACCCCTATCCCAAATATAATCCATTGTACAACCCTCATTCCATACTCTTATGATAAACATAACGCTCTAAAATAGAATACTTTTAAACTATTCTCTCCCTCATAGACTTCAATGCAATAAACATAATTTATCCAGTTTTTCTCAGTCTTACCCCCACCCTGATGTCAGCCTCATTCTACAATAGTGGCACCATATAGCATTTGTCCCCTTTGTGACTGAGATATTTCACTCAGCATCATGTCCTCCAGGGTCACCCATTTTGAATAGTATTCATGAGTTCCTTGTTTTACAATGCAGCATAGTATTCCATTGTGTGAATATACCACAGCTTCTCTGCCCATTTGTTTGTTGACGGGCACTTAGTTTGTTTCCAACTCCTTGCTATTGTGAACAAAGCTGCGATAAACATGGGTATGCATATATCTACTTGGATGTCCTTTGTGGTCTCTTTAGGGTATATTCCCAGTAGTGGAATTGCTGGGTCAAATGGTATCTCTATTTGCAACTTTTTGAGAAAGTGCCACACTGCTTTCCACAGTGGTTGCACCATTTTACACTCCCACCAACAGTGAATCAGGGTTCCAGTCTCTCCACAACCTCGCTAGCATTTGTTGCTTGCTGTTCTGTTAAATTTTTCTAGTCTTACTGGGATGAGATGATATCTCATAGTTGTCTTGATTTGCATCTCTCTCAGATCTAGGGATGCATTCCTTTCTTGTAGTATCCCCTTGTTTGGTTCAGGCAAACAACTTCTAGCCTTGGTATAGGTTTCCCATGAGTACAGTCAAGTGTTGCGGGATTATGTGATTCCCATTCTTATCAATGTTAGACACAATATTTTTGTGATTTACTCAGTCAAATGCCTTTTCATAGACAATAAAACACAAATAGATATGCTTCTAGTACTCTCTGTTTCAGCCAAGATCCATCTGATATTCGCAATTATATTCCTAGCTTCTAAACCTAGCTTGAATTTCTTGATTGATATGCTGTTTTAATGTTGATGTACTATTTAATAGTTTTTTTAATAACTCCCAGTAAAATTGGGTTTACATATGATATTACTGATATTATCGAATATTTCCCACATTCTTTTGGATCACTTTTTTTTGGATGTGAATGAATATGGTTCTCTTCCATGTTGCTGTCCTCCAGATTTTTCAGCACAATCTAGTGAGCACATCCAAAGTTGCATCTGTTGAAATATATCATTTGGTATTCCATAAATTCCAGGGATTTATTGTTTGCCAATTCCTTCATAACAGCTTGAACTTCCTCCTTTATTAGTATTGGTTCTTTATTGTATGACACAGGTGGCAGGGATTCTCCCATGAAGGCAGCCACACAAGGTTCAGAAGGCTCAATGGTCAGACTTTTGTCTATAGTTGGTGTATGAAATATGAAAGCCACTTTTACCTTGTGAACAGCGTGTTCTTAGGATTTGGGGCCTGTAGTTGCTCCTGTTATGATATGAAAAATGTCCCAAAGTCTGAGGAAGGTAGACTCCTTGCCCTCTTCTATTTCTGAATAAATAAGGTTATAATACTTCCAGTTGGTGGTTGATGATAGCTTGCTTGTCCTACCTGTAGACAATTGCATTACTTGTCACAGAACAAAGTGCCATAGAATGGAAAAATAGATGTCCTAAAGTTGCTTAATGTCATGTTTCTTTGGAATGTAATAAAATGATTCTGCTCATTGTCTCCCTCAAGATCTCCTTTACCTTTTCATTCCTTAAGCTGTAAATGAAGGGATTCAGAAGAGGAGTTACTACTGTAGTGAGCACAGCGGTCACTTTGTCAAAATCTAGGGAATAGCTCTGGTTGGGTCTCACATACATGAAGATGGAGCTTCCATAGGCGACAGAGACAACGGTAATGTGAGAAGCACAAGTGGAAAAGGCCTTCTGACGTCCTTGGGCTGAGGGGATATGTAAGATGGTGGTGATAATGTAAGTGTAGGACACTGTGGTGAGCACTAGAGAACTTAAAACCACAAGGGAAGATAAGAGGAAGTTTATCAACTCAATGAAGTGAGTATCAATACAGGCCACCTGTAACAGAGGAGCAATGTCACAGAAGAAGTGACTGATTTCTTCAGTACAATATGGCAGTCTGGACACCATGATAGTGGGACACAACACTGACAGGAAGGCTCCCACCCAGCATCCCAGAACCAGCAGGAGGCAGACTGTACTGTTCATGATGATGGTGTATCGCAGGGGGTTACAGATGGCCACATAGCGGTCAAAAGACATGACAGCCAAGAGGATGGACTCCACTGTCCCCAGGAAGAAGTAGAAATATGTTTGAGTGATGCACCCAGCAAAGGATATGGTTTTTCTCTCTTCTAAGAGACAGGCTAGCAACTTTGCGGCAATGGTAGTTGTGAACAAAATGTCCAAAAATGACAAATTACTGAGGAAGAAGTACATTGGTGTTTGGAGACGACTGTCTGTCCATATTAAGGAAAATATGATAATATTTCCTGTTATGGTGAGTGTGTAAACAAGCAGGAGAACCACGAAGAACAAAATCTCGAGCTCTGGGACATTGGGAAAGGAAATCAAGGTGAATTCAGTCACTGTGGTCTGGTTTCTTGTTGCCATTTCTACTCAATGGGGGAAGAAACAAAGAAATAATATAACAATAGTTGGAATTATCTTTCACAATTTTTACGAACCTTCTTAATATTAGGAGAGTTGTCTGTAATTCTTTTACGTTATGCTGGGCAAATGATAATAACCTTGCTGGGCATTTCTTGCCTATTAAATTGATGGACTAGGAAAAACCAAACCAAACCACAAATCTTCTGTGACCTTTTTAAAAGATCTAACAATTTACTTTCTATTAAATATTTATATTTCTTCCTTTATTTCCATAGATTCAAGTTCATGTAAACTAGATGAAGCGTGTAGTTAACAGAAAACCATTTGCGTTATTTTGATTAAATAATATTTTAACCTCTAACTATATAGGTATTTTTGCTGATGATCTCACTTCATATGACATTGAGAGATGAGAAACAATCTGACATAAACTCTGTTATAATTTCTCTAACATAACTAACTTGCAGAACATAACATGAAGGATCCTCTTATACTACAACAATAACTTGATAGGACATATTCTTTGTTAGAATAAGCATCAAGAAAATATGAGCTGGGCCAAGAAGATTAGGAAGTGAGCCCCGTGGTGGTATCAGAACTTCTATGTGTGAAGACCTGGTAATCAGGTTACCTGTGTCACTGTAGACAATAAATTGGTGAAGGAACAATAAAGAATTGAAGATGTGAAGAACCAAAGCAGAAGGCTTGATTTGCATTGTTTGACCCTATGGGAGAAGTAGGATCTCCCTATGGATATACTTTTTTTAAAGTAGCAAGCACTTTGGTGGCATAGTCTGTAGAGACGTACCGCTAACCTAAATGTGGTCAGTTCTAATCCACCAGAGAAAGATGAGTAATCCTATCATGTGTGATTTCTTGCCTCAGAAAACCTGCTGGAGGGTCAGCTATGTGTCTCCTCCAAGTCAAGAACAAAGTGAATTGAAAGGAAGTAGCATTTAAATAATTAAAGAAAAATTATTATTGGTAAAATAACAGAGTCATTTTGAGTGTGTTAAGATGGAGTAAACAATGAGTTAGGTGTGATTTAAGGAAGAATTAATTAGTAGGAAGATCTTATACTTAGCAAGATCTTATTATTTATCTTTACGAAATCAAGGGATAGAGAATACTGACAGTATTAAAGAATGATTAAGTAAAATAGAAGACAGAATGGGAAAGTTTATATTTTTAGTGTGTGTCCTAAATGAGTGATTAGAGGAAGTAGAGGTAAGACAGTATATAAAAAGAAATAGAGATCCAAAATACCAATGAGAAGATATGAGGAGCAGTCATGAAGAAGGGGTAGATTTTCTACAACAACAGAAGTTAGAACAACTACCAGCTTCTTAGTTACAGTGGTGGAAGTCACAAATTGACTGCAGGATATTTCCAAAATATAGTAAGAAAGCAGTTGCTCATTCATTATTATATATCCATTAACATTTATCTTACATTGTAAAATAAATAGAAGCTCAACCAACTCATGATGACCCTATAGCACAGGGTCAAACTCTCACAGGGTTTTCAAGCTGTAATCTTTACAGAAACAAACTGCACATCTTTCTCTCATGGAGCATCTGGGCATTTAACAACTATACTACCAGAATTCTTCAAATAAATGTATTACAGATAAAAGCTTACAAAATTCACTACCAAGTTACAAATTTTTGTTGTTGTTATGTGCTGTCGAGTCACTTGCGACTCATAGTGACCCTATGTACAACAGCCCTAAACTCTGCTCTATCCTGTGCCACTTGCACTGTCTCTGACACACCCATCCCGAACAAGAAAAATAATCTTAAAATTACAAAGATGTAAAAATAAACAGTAGGATGGTAAACAAATATAAATGAACATTGTCAAAACATTAGAATACTGTTGAATTTGTGAGGTCAAGATAGAATTGGTATATGGTCAACAATAAAAGATATGTGTGAAGCAGAAAAATTGGAGCTAAAGACTTCTTGTGTCATAATTTGCAAATAAATAAAGTATTTTTGCTTTAGACTTGAAGTAAGCTTCATAAATACAGCCATATTAATAGTAAAATAGACATTAAAAATAGACATTATGATAACAAACATTATTAGAGGTCAGCTCCGTGATGAAAGTCTTCTCCTTGAAAAAAGGGAACATTTAACAATTTATATATATATAAAATAAATAGTAATAGTTTAAACATATATATCTGTGTATATATCTATGTATATACCTATATCTATCTATCTTTGAAATCAGGAATGGCATCCACTTCCTAAATAACATGCCTCCGGAAACTCTATGAACTCTGATAAATGTCGATAGTTGTAGAGGGGTGTCAGGCCTTTCGTTCATAGGGTTGCTATGAGTTGTGCTTGCCTTTAAGGCAGTCAACAACAACATTTATCTATCTATTTCTGTGTCTCTATATATAAATTGACAGAATGGTAAAAAAATCATCATAATAAAATATTTCAATAAGATGTACAAAAAAGTCATAAAAGAGAAGTATAACTGAGCAAGGAGTGTATAAATGTTCAAATGGGGTAAAAGGAAGTGGGCTGAAAAAGAGGAAGAGTGGAAATCACTAGGAGAGCAGAGGTTAGAGTGCGAAGGAAAAAAAGATGGGGCATAATAGGCATAGATCAGTGGCAATTAATGATATAGAATATATATGAATTGATATTAAACACAATGTAAAGATTTTCTAAAATATAATGCAAATGAATGAAATATTACATATGTTAATTACTGTATGCAAATCAATAGAAATATTAGAAGAGAAAAGATAAATATAATATGAACAGCATACTTAAATTCTTATGGTGGGCTTATATAAAATTTGGTATTCAAATGTCAGGGAATACACATTTTTCTAGAACATACATGAAATGTTTAAAAGCATTACACATGAAGAAAACTCAACAAATTGCAAAGTAAGTATCATATAGAACATGTTTTCAGACCTCAACACAGTAAGTTAGTAGTAAAAGTAAACATTAAAATTTCCTTATATGTTTGAAAATTTAAAAAAAAATTTCCTCCCAGATAATTCACAGAGCAAAAGGGAATCATACTGGAAGGGGCAGGGGGGAATGTCAGATCTGAATGATAGCATAAATGATCATTTGTATATAATGGTATATATATATAAATTTTGAGAGTTATATCAATAGTGATTTAATTACTGACTTTTGTACACTCAAAGACTCAATTATAAAATTAGAAATCTGAATGATTAGAAAAATTAAGAAAAAATTGGAATAAAAATGTAGAAGGAAGCAGATATGGACTAGAACATGATTTTTAAAAGAAAAAAAATACCAAACTCAAAATGGAAACTCTGCTAGAGAAAAAATCCCAAATAACCAACCCAAACAATAAACCACCCCAACAACAAAAAAAACAGATTAAAACACTTTAAAGTGGTAAAAATGAAATTACAACATGAAAAACAAAAAAGTATGAGAGAGATAAAACAAGAAATATATATAGCTAATAAGAATATTATGCCTTCTTATTTGCAAACTAAGTAAAATTGGGAAAATTCTTTAAAAAGTGACTTCATAAGTCATATAAAGTCATACAAATCTTTCCTGATGAAGGGAAAGTAAAAAGCCATCATGAGTACTAAAAAGGGAGTGCCGATGGTTTAGTGCTAAGATCCTGTACTGTAAATCCTAATGGCATGTTATCTGAACACACCACTTGCCCAGCAGGAAGTGGATGGACAATATACCATTGTAATTTATTACCTCTTAAAACCTACTGGAGGGTCAGCTATGAGTTATTTCCGACTATATAACACACAACAACAACAACAACAACAGTACTGCAACTACTATAGAAATAGAAGAAGTCTTTAAAATCACACAAAGAACACACCGGCATAGATAATTTAGAAGTTGAATTCTACTGAATTTTCCTGAAAAAAAAAAAAATTTGCCATGTTATACAAACAATTCAAGATAAGTGAGAAAAAGAGGGATATGTGAAGTTAATAAAATGTTAAGACTTAAAAAAAAAGAGGGGGAAAGTAAAGTCTCATTTTACTTATAAATATTGTGAAACATTCACATTTTTTTTAAAAGTAGTATTATTGTTCAGTTCTGTTGAGTAGTAAGGACAATCTCCTCCCTTGCGATTGTTTCTGAAAAGTGGAAGGTCAGCTATATGTTGGTCCCGACTCTATGGTAAACAACAACAACAACAACAACAACAGTATTCTTGTTTGGTTCTGTTGAGTAGTAAGTTTCTACTCAACAGAAACTGAAATAACTTGAGGAAAAGTATATACTAAAAAGCTATAACACCAGTGCTTAATGAGAAAGCATTAAAAAAACCCTTAAAATTAGCAAAGAGATAAAGGGGTCTCCCTATGACCACTATTATCAGGAGTGTAGGGAGAATTTACACTATCACATATAGAATCAATGTCCACTGCACGTTCAAGTGCTTCACTGAATCCACAAACATATCACCTCTTCATTATCTTTTTTTGTGACTTCCTCTTGCATTGATGGTGTAGTCTGCAGGAATTTATGTAGGTAACTAAAAGGCTGAGCATCTCTGGCAATTCGAATTAGTTAGAAGCTCCTCAGTGAAAGGAGGCAGTCTTCTGTGTAACTTACAAACCTGGAAAACCAATGCAGGGCCAGTGATGAGTCAGTTCCAACTTGACAGGAATGAGTTGTTGAGATTGTTTTCTTTCTGTTTGTGGCAGTTATTTCCCCCTCTCCCTACTTCCATGATTTCTTTTTGTTTTTATGCCTCTCTGGTCGACACTACTTGAGAACAAGAATACATTTTCACTTGTCCTTCATATCCTGAACATTCTGTTTTTGTCTTAACATCTTTAACCTCTACTGTTATTGACTAAAAAAAATAATAACTTATTTGAAAATTCTTTTAACTATATAGTTGTTGGGTTTTTGACTTTTTAAAATGTAACAAGATGATTACAAGATAGTTTGTTAAAGATATGAGTAACTTAATTTTATAAAGATTCTCATCAGTTTACC